TATCTATCTATCTATCTATCTATCTATCTATCTATCTATCTATCTATCTATCTATCTATCTATCTATCTATCTATCTATCTATCTATCTATCTATCTATCTATCTATCTATCTATCTATCTATCTATCTATCTATCTATCTATCTATCTATCTATCTATCTATCTATCTATCTATCTATCTATCTATCTAGCTGCCTACGACTTTTAGCTCTCCTGGCCATTTCGATAATGGTATCGATACCAAACCTGGTATGGCATAACCTAACAGTATGAGAAGCATAATTGTCTAGTCATAACATGAAAATTATGACATGTATGCCATGAATGTCATGATTTACATTTCATGGTCCTGCTGCTCTTGCGGTGGTTTTCTTCACATGGCATATTGCAAAACTGGTATCGTATGACATGACTGCATGGTAAACATAAGTGACACTCCTTTACTTTAAAATCATGACATGCGTTTCATGTAACAACATGACTACATGCCAAGTTCATGATGTGCTCATGGCCATTTCGCTAGCTTTACATATACTAGGTTTAGTACTATGGGACGTGAAGGGATGACGAAGGTATGTGACTGGTGGAAACATATTCTTCAGATGCGTGTCGTGTAACAACATGACCACATGCCACGCTCATGATGCGCTCGCAGCCGTTTCGCTAACCTGACAGGCCACATTTCGTATTATGTCACGTGAATGGATGACGAAGGTATGTGACTGGTACAAACATGATAATCATTAGATGCGTGTCATGTAAGAACACAACAATATGCCACACTCAAGGTGCCAATACACTTCGACGTGACCTGGCGCGCGTGCGTGCCGGCGTTCGTTTCGCCACGTCACGCCTTCGATGCCATGCCAGGGGCCGATATGCCTGTCGTATACTCGCTGGCGCGCGCCGCACTGCATTGCTTTGACGCATGCGCGTTTGAGGGCACTCGGCGTCTCTCCATCACGAAGAGAGGCAGACGCAGTGCTGTCCGGGTAACGTCGTCGGCGTCGCGCCGGTTGCCGCTCGGCCCCGCCGACGGACGCTGGTAGCGTTTGGCGTCACAGTGCTCGCGTTTCGCTAGCGTAGTGTCACCGTAACGTCGGAGTACATTGGCCCCTTCATGATGCGCTCGCTGCCGTTTCGCTAGCTTCACATATACCAAATTTGGTATAACGGGACGTGAATGGACGACGAAGGTATGTGGCTGGTGCAAACATGACAATCAGGAGATGCTTGTCATTTAAAAACATGACAACATGCCACGCTAATGAGGCACTCGTGTTCATTTCGCTAGCGCCACACATAGCAAATTTGCTGTTGCGAGACGTCAATGGATGAGGAAGGTATATGACTAGTGCAAACATAATAGTCATGATATTCGTGTTATGTGACACGTGACTACATGTTACGCTCGTAGCACGCACGCGGCCGTTTTGCTAGCTCAACATATACCGAATTTGGTATTATGCGACGTCAATAGACGACAAAGGTAAATCACACTTCCAAATATAATAATCAAGGCATGCGTGTGACGTACGGCACAATTTATCTCCGCCTCGTAACTTTGTGCTGATTTTAGAGTAATGTATCAACCTTCCTCATTCGTGCTTTGCATATCATCTATTCCCACTGTACGTGGGATCTGCCAATTTTTTCGCGAGTGACAAACGCGACACTCTTTGAACGCCGGCGTATCAACTACCCTCGCCGGTTGCTATAGCAACGGTATGTGAAACATTTTTTATTTTTATGTTGCGCAGGTTTGCCGCTGGATGCGCTGCCAGCAGCCGTCCGACGGACACGCGTCTCTCTTATTTATGTGGTCGATTGCGTCCTATAAGAAAGCCGAGAAGTGTCCCCACCTAAATTGTTTGTATCTGACATCGTGGTTCCCTACACTTTACTAACTGACGACTGACAAGTTTCACCTTTGATATCTGAAGCCGAAGCCGCAATTCTTGAAGCTCCTTTTTTTGCTTTTACCTTCCCTTTCCAAAGCTGCGGTGGCTGCTTTTCCGATGGAGGCGGAAATGTTGTAGGCCCATGTGCTCAGATTGGGGTGCGCGTTAAAGAACCCCAGGGGGTCAAGTTTTCCAGGGCCCTGCACAAAGGCGTCTCTCATAATCGTATGGTGTTTTTTTCATTGTAACTTTCACATCCATGTAACAAAAAACTTCGCAAACACTTGTTCGGTCCCATAGCCTAACTGGCTAGTAGAGGGACCAATTGTGTGACATACCTACATACTTGCCCAAGCGGTTACACAGCGACAAAGGACATCAAACTGGATACAATGTTTAAAATAAAAAAAAGCAAAAGACACATGATTGAACTATACAAAGAAACATAGCACAGAACATAGCTACTTATAGCACAGAATAATAATAGCACTAGAATAATACTAAAATGACTATGCATACGTATTATTTAGAAAGTTCCCATGAAGTGCATGCTTCATGGCCAATGAATAATTTCTAGCCTCTTTCACATCAGTCAGTATCGCATTTCATATGAGAGCGCCGTGAAATTCTATGAGCCTTTGACCGTAGGCATTTCTGGCTACCGGTAAATTAAAACAGTGATTCGCTGCAGCTCTTGTACAGCGCGCGGGTAACGTAAAGGTGCTTAATGGGAATGGGTCATCACGTTTTATTATTCCATGCACTATATCAGCAAGACTAGACACGGGAACGGAGTCTGGGACGTTAAACCCCACATATCAATCAATCAGCTTCCCCTTTAGGCCTGATGGTCTATCTGTCAAACGCAAGTCGCTCTCATTACTAATGCCTCCTTTGTCACTTCTTGGATAAGCGTTGTTACGTTTGGCCTGGCATTTCATCTTAGGAGTCTGCAAAAATGCTTTCCACCCCTATATCAGCGCCCGGTCGAAAGCACCACGCATGACGCTGTCCTACATGTGGGCCATGCAGTTCGTTGTGGTCGGGTCACAATAAACTCGACGGAAGCTTCGCGAACAACCCTTTGTTGAGCGAGGTCGAACAGCGTGAGACGGCATCACTATTGCAGTTCTCAAGAAGTGAACCTCTCCACTCAGCCATCGTCTCTAAGCGAGGTCATGACATAGCACCGACAGTTCGGAAGCGTGGGATCGCGTCGCAGTAGCAGTTAAGGCACATGAATTGCCATGGTCTGGAAGGTTTCCTCTGGAACACTGCAGCTGAACGCAGTCATAGGCAGCTGCTCACGTTCGTGTCAGCGGCTATCTTCCTCACAGAGGAGCTCAACGTTCCCCTCCACCGGACCCTACCTCCTCGCCCTGCGGTGTCTTGAAGGCGTGGGCCGGGTGCGTCACTGTGTGGTGCGCTCGTGTTACCCATTGGACATTTTCACTCGTGTTCCTCATCAGCCGAGTGGTCTAATGTCTACACCCTTCCGTGTGGACCAATCAATGATACTTTACCGTCACCTGATTCGCGGCAGCAGTGGTCACCGCCTTCTTCGGACTGCCGTGTAAGGAAACGACCTGCTATAAAAGCCGAATACATTTGTAAATAATCGCTGAATCACTGTACAGTTTCATTTCTCTTCCATCATGTAAATGAACCGTTCTGTTTCTAAGAACGCGTCTCCACACTGGCGAACATCGGCTATGTGGACGACGGCGGGGAGCCAGGTACCATAAAGAAACCCGCCGAAATCCGATACCTTGAGAACTGGTGGCAGCGGCGGCATGTCATAAACCCCGAGCACTTCACAGTATGGGAAGCTCTTCCTCATCCGCGCGAAAATAGTTTAAAGCCTGTATTAAACGGTGCCTTTCTCAATGCATATAGTCGCCACTGCACTGAATCGAGTTCCCTCAATTTGTTGAAACCTTTGGTCACCCCATTCAGACTTCCGTGACTCAAACTGCCGCGAAGGGGCCGCTAATAAACACAAGCCTTCAATAAGCAGCAACATACCTGCCCCTCTGGATAGAGAATACCATCTATCCAAAACATCAGTCTAGGAACCGTACGGAAAGTCTGTGCTCACCAGATTCAGTACGCAGGAAAGAACTCAGACTGATCCCGTCGCTGCCAGTTGATGTGGCCCAGGAGGTGTTTAGGCAGACTGCCAGGCTCCGGCAAAAAAAACTCACGATGCTTTTTGCGTAGAACACACTTTTACATATTCACAACATTTTCACAAAAGCGTAGAGACGCACATGAGCACGGGAACGATTGGGCCAGCGCCAGCGAACGCCAGAGAGACAGAGAGAGAGAGAGAGAGAGAGAGAGCACCAGCGCACACGCGACGCCCACTCCTCGATAACCGTTTTTGTTGGACGCGAACCACGTATGGCAAGAATGCCGATGAGTGTCCCTTGCATACTGAATAGTTGCACTGCCTGTTGTAACACTTTCATATCAAAACTACTTTTCAGGGATTCATTAACTGCTTCCCTTGACTGCACGTGGTTTATATAATTAGCTGTCAGGGGCTTTTGCTGGGTGCTTTTGTAATTGATGGGAGTGGTGGTGAAAACTTATTTATTCGCTGGGAAGTTTCTACAGAGAGAACCCGGGCAGTCGGAGTTTCTCGGCTTGAGGAGGTCCAGGGCTCCGCTTGCAGCAGCCGCTTTGCGGGCCCGGTCCATAAGACTCAGCTGATTTGACAGCTACGTTCTCGCTGGCAAGTAAATCTTCCTATCGCTTTGCTGTGGATTTCTTTCTGTATTCGTGCAAAGGCTATAATGGCCTGACATTCGCAGGTGTCGTGGCGCCAGGTATAGCTTTACCTGAGCAACCATGGGTGATGAGAAGAGCAAGCCGAGATCTACAACTGAGAGTGTGCAAATTTGGAAACATGCTGGTTTGAATTTGCCTCTTGTTGTGACGTCAGTCGCGGGGTTTGTATGCATGCTCTCAAGCTACTGCCAGTTGCGCATGCGCCGAGAGATAGCGTGTGTACATATACTGTCCACAGTATCTGGAGGGTGTTATTCTGTTTTGGACTGCTTGTGTTGAGGCTGGCAGCGTGCGCCTCAGTAATAAAGATGTGATACCATGTGCCCGGTGTCGGGATATAACAACTGGCGACGAGGATGGGATCCGCCGCAGGCTTCTAGGAATCCCACTCTAACCAGCTTGAACTGAGTATGGCGACCACTGTCGGTAAGTTACCCGAGTTCCAACAAGAGGACGGTAACTTCGAGGTATACCTGGAGCGGTTCGAAGTATTTACCGCGGCCAATGACATCGCGGAAGACAAGAAGCTTCCAATCTTTCTAACGGCTATAGGTGAGAAGGCCTACGTCACGCTTCGGAGCTTGCTGCTGCCTAAAACACCAGCTAAGACGTCATTCACGGAAGTTGTTGACGTTCTGAAGAAGCATTACGCTCCCAAGCGCTCCGTGGTCACCGAAAGGTATCGTTTTTACCAGCGAAAGCAAGAGCCGCATGAGACTGTCGCAGACTTTAGAGTCGAATTGAAGAAACTCGCGGCAACATGCGAATTCGGTGCCTTTTCGACCGAAGCATTGCGTGACCGGCTCGTCGCTGGAATATGTACCGAGGGAGTACGGTGCAGGCTATTGGCAATGCCAGACGAGGAAGTAACGTGGGAACGCGCATGCAGCGTAGCCATGGCCATGGAAGCGGCAACACAAGACACGAAAGAAATGCTGCAAACCAGTTCTAAAGGAGCAGCTGTAGAAACGGAGGACATCTACTGGCAACGGAAAATCTCACAACCGAGTAAAGCACCTTCGAGGGAAGCGCCGACGCAGTCCAGCTGGGACAAGGAAAATGGGGCAGCGAAAGAACAAACGAAAAGAATGTGTCATCGTTGCGGAGGACAGCATTCACCCGTGAGTTGCCGATTTCTGAACAGTACCTGTTATAGGTGTACAAAAAGGGGTCATGTTGCTAAAATGTGCAAATCTGAGCTTGTAAATAGAGTAGAGAGCGAAGAATGCGAGAAAGAAAATACTAACGAACTGCTATCTCTGTATAATACGCACCACAAAGAAGGTGTGCCCGCCATTGTAATCAAGGTTTGCATAAATGATAAAGTGATACCCATGGAACTTGACACGGGCGCAGCGGTGTCAATAATGTCAGAAACAGAGTGTGCTAAACACTTCCCAAACGCCTCTTGCAGGCAAGCAAATGTCAAACTAGCCACGTACAATGGCACGACGGTCCCTACTGTTGGTATTATGGATGTAAAGGTGCAATACCAAGACCAGTGTTTCGAACTGCCACTTGTCATAGCGAAAGAAACGCAGGGTGCTAGAATGCTCACGTTGTTTGGCCGAGATTGGCTTTCTAAAATCAAAATAAATTGGCAGGAAGTATTTTCAGTAAATGTGGTGGCTAAGGAGGCATTGCTTGCTGAGAAATTTCCCGAAGTGTTTGGCGCGGGTTTTGGTACAATTAAGGGATTCGAATGCAGCATTGAATTGAAGGATTACGCGCGCCCTGTCTTTATGAAAGCGCGACCAGTGCCATACGCTTTGCGCGAGCACGTTGAACAAGAATTGGTCAAGCTAGAAAAAGCTGGAGTCATGTATAAGGTCATAGTCCATGGGCAACGCCTCTGGTGATTGTTCCAAAAAAGAACACTCAAGAACTGAGATTATGTGGCGACTATCGCGTCACAGTAAACCCAGCTATCAAGGTCGATCAGTATCCCTTGCCACTTCCTGAAGACATATTCGCAAATCTTCAGGGTGGAACTGTGTTTTCTATCATAGACCTCTCAAAAGCGTACTTGCAACTCGAACTAAACAAACAAGCGCAGGAACTGCTCACTATTAACACCCACCTAGGTCTGTTTAGATTCCGCCGCTTGCCGTATGGCGTAGCGTGCGCACCAGCTATTTTCCAGGCGGTCATGGACCAGATAGTGCGTAATCTGCCTGGAACCGCGTGCTACATTGATGATGTAGTCATCGCTGGTGAGAACGACGGGCAGTGTTATGAAAGGGTGGAGCAAGTTCTTCAACGCCTAAGTAAACACGGCGTAAAAGTGAACGCAAGGAAATGCAGCTTCTTTCAGCAACGCGTCACATACTTGGGACACGAGATAGACAAGCACGGCTTACACCCAACAGCGGAAAAAGTTGAAGCTATCAGAAAAGCGCCAAGGCCCACTAACGTGAGTCAGTTGAAGGCCTTTTTAGGTTTGATTAATTACTACGGAAAATTTTTGCCAAATTTAGCATTGATCTTGGAACCACTGCACAACTTGTTGCGAAAAGAAACTACATGGCACTGGTCACGCGAATGTTATGAAGCATTCGAAAGATGCAAAGAACTGTTGACTGATAAGACTGTGTTGCAGTTGTATGACGTAAAAAAAGAAATCTGGATCACATGTGATGCTTCTGATTACGGGTTAGGGGCTGTGCTATCGCACTTGGTGAACGGTGAGGAAAAGCCGGTTTCTTTTGCTTCGCGGTCATTATCAGCGGCCGAACGTAACTATGGGCAGATTGAGAAAGAAGCACTTAGTATTGTGTTTGCTGTAAAAAAATTTCATAAGTACCTGTACGGACGGCCCTTTAACATAATAACAGATCACCAACCTTTGACAATTTTGTTTGACCCTAAACGGCAGGGCAGTGCAGTAGCCACGGCACGAGTGCATCGTTGGCTGACATTTTTGGCCGACTACACCTATAGAATCTAACACAAGCCAGGATCAGCTATCCAGCATGCAGACGCATTGTCCCGTTTACCGTTACCTGACACAGGTAGCAAGTGCGAAGAAATCTTCTACTTTTCAGCACTAAACGACTTGCCTTTAACGCCAAATGATGTCAGTCGAGAAACAGGATGCGATAAAGTGCTGAGGGCTGTACGCGACATGATCTGGCATGGATGGCCCAAGACCGTGTCGGAGCAGCTAAAGCCGTTCTGGGTACGCCGGCTCGAGCTCAGTGTAGACAACGGGTGCGTTATGTGGACAAACAGAGTGGTAGTACCGGAATCATTGCACAAGAATGTTTTGCAGTTGCTGCACGAGCAGCACTTAGGTATAACCCGAATGAAAGCATTAGCGAGGTCAGTAGTATGGTGGCCGGGAATGAACAAAGCCCTCGAAAACACAGTGCGCAAATGTGCAATATGCCAAACGGTTCTCCCTGCAGCTCAACCCGTACCCTTGTCCTCGTGGCAAATATGCCAGAATCCGTGGGAGCGTGTGCATTTAGACTTCGCTGAAGAAAAGAGAAGGATGTTTCTCCTCGATATCGACACCTATTCCAAATGGCTTGAAATTAAGATAATGAGTGTAACCACCGCGGCGAAGACCGTTGAAGTAGTGCGTTCATGGTTCGCGGCGCATGGCCTTCCGCTGGAGGTAGTGACGGACAACGGGCCGCAGTTTCGGGCAACTGAGTTCAAAGAATTCCTTCAAGCTAATGGTGTGAGGCACACACTAACGCCGCCGTACCATCCGCAGTCTAACGGTGCGGCGGAGCCAGCAGTTCAGACAACAAAAAAGCACTGCTCAAACAAGTGCTAGAAGACTCGGAAAAAGGCACAAACAGAACACTGCAACACAGGATAGATAACTTCGTGTTTTGTTATCGAACCACACCTCACACTTTCACGGGAAGAACCCCTGCTGAATTATTTGTGAGAAGGAAGCTGCGGACCCGATTGTCGCTGCTGCGCCCGGACGTAACAAGTCAGATGAGAGCTAAGACCGCAGAAATAAAAAAGTCTGCTGACAGGCTCCGAGGTTCACCTCGAGTGTTTGCTGTTGGTGATCGTGTACTGATGCGTTCTGTGCGTGGGTAACTTGTGAACTGGTGGCCTGGAGAAGTGACGTGTGTGAAATCTTCTTCGACGTATTTAGTGTATGTGCGAAACAAAGTGCGGTTTGTGCACGCGGACCACTTGCGACCATCGGACATCGAACCGACGGCACAACAGGACCCACCACCGGAAGTGGAACTACCACATGCATCGGACATCACAAATGCTACATCGACGACCAACCAAAGCTCAGATTCGTCGTCACCCACGAGACTCTCACTTCCCGAAAATCGTGAGCAGCCGGTTCCCTTACGACGTAGCACAAGGCAACGGCGCCCACCTGAGCACCTGACTTATGATAGTTTCTAAAATTGTGCGTGAAGGAAGTGTTGTGACGTCAGTCGCGGGGTTTGTATGCATGCTCTCAAGCTACTGCCAGTTGCGCATGCGCCGAGAGATAGCGTGTGTACATATACTGTCCACAGTATCTGGAGGGTGTTATTCTGTTTTGGACTGCTTGTGTTGAGGCTGGCAGCGTGCGCCTCAGTAATAAAGATGTGATACCATGTGCCCGGTGTCGGGATATAACACCTCTAGTCGCATCTCTGCTTGTCAATGATTTGGTGGATGGCAGCATATTAAAACTCCAATGAAAATTGCCGCCCAAGCACTTGGTACAAATGGTTAACCAGCGAAAGCTGAAATGTGCGGTCCCTGTGTTTAGCAGTGGGTTGAACACGACGTGGCACATAAGCCTTTCACAATTATTAAATGCAAAGTATTTCTTAGCGAATCTGATTGATTAGTGATATGTGGGGTTTAACGTCCCAAAACCAGCATATGATTATGAGAGACGCCGTAATAGAGGGCTCCGGAACTTTTGACCATCTGGGGTTCTTTAACGTGCGCCCAAATCTGAGCACACGGGCCAGAGGCGTAGCGAGAAATGTTTTTCGGGGGGGGGGGGGGTTCACACCGACCCGACGGGGGAGGGGGGACACAGGCATCAGATTTCCTCTGTGACGTCGCTATTGGCAGTAGTTTAAACAGGTGGTGTACATGTATATCAAGTGACGAGATTCCCCCTCTCCCCGTGCGTAAGGTTGTGAAGAGAGTAAGTAAAAGTACTGTGACAGATTCATTGATATGTGGGGTTTAGCATCCCGAAATCACCATATGATTATGAGAGACGCCACAGTGGAGGGCTCCGGAACTTTAGATCACCTGGGGTTCTTGAACGTGTACCCAGATCCGAACACACAAGCCTACAGCATTTTCGCCTTCACCGAAAATGAAGCCACCACAGCCGAAATTCCATCCCGAGACCTGCGGGTCAGCAGCCGAGTACTTTACCCATTAGACCTCGGCGGTGGGGCAGTACTGTAAAAAATACTGTAAAATACCGTAAACGACTGGTACAGTGATTGTTTGAAGCAACGACCCCTCGTCACACCATTGAATGGACTAGTCTTTGGAAATACATTATTGCGATGGCCCATCTGATCAGAGAAGACGTCGTTAACCTCTGTTATGCGTAGATGGCGCAATCCTCGCAGGGACGAAGTGCGTTTCACATGAAGGTCAAGGACGGTTCGGCTTACATCGAGGAGTGAGAGGTATACGCAGCTTGTTTTAAATGGGAAGCATTTCTTAGGGAACTTCGGTGACTTTGAGCGTATCTGTCTATCTAGCCGCCTACGACTTTTAGCTATCCTGGCCGTTTAGATAATAGTATCAATACCAAACTTGGTATGGCATAACATGACTGTATGGAGAACATATCTGTTTAGTCATAACATGAAAATCATGACCTGCACGTGATGAATGTGATGATTTACATTTCATGGTCCTGCAGTGGTTTTGTTCACAGGGCATGTTGCAAAGCTGGTATGCTATGACATGATTGCATGGCGAACACAGGCGACAAACCCTGACGTGGAAATCATGACATGAATGTCATGTAACACATGAGTCATTACTACACGCCATGCTCATGATGTGCTCGCAGCCGTCTCGCTAGCTTCACATATACCAAATTCGGCTTTAAGTGATGCAAATGGTAGACGAGGGTATCATGAGATGCGTGTCATGTTACATTATGACTCAAGCCACCCTCATGATGCCCTCGAAGCCGTTTCGCTAGCTTCACATACACTGAATTCGGTATTACGGGATGCGAATGGACGACAAAGCGATGTGACAGGTGCAAGCACGATAATCATGTGAGGCGTGTCGTGTAACAACATGACTACATGCTTCACTCACGATGCGCTCGCGGCCGTCTCGCTAGCTGCACGTATGCGAAATTTTGTATTATGTGACGTCAATAGATGACAAAGGTATGTGACTGGTGCAAACATGATAATCATGAGATGCGTGTCATGTGAGAACATGACTACATACCACATGCAAGGTGCCAATAAATTTCGACGTGACGCGGTGCACGGGCTCACCGGCGTTGCCACGCCAGACGCCGGTCTTGCATTATACTCGCAGGCGCGCACCGCGCTGCGTTCCTCTGTCGCATGCGCGTTTCTGCGCGTTCGGCGTCCCTCTGTCACGTAAAAATGCAGAGGCTGTGCTGTGTGGGTAATGCATTGGTGCGAAATGTAGCACGTTGCATTTCACGCCGGTTGCCGTCGGGCCACGCCGACGGACGCTGGTAGCACCGGTCGCGCCTTGCGTCAGACTATAGAGTGCTTGCGTTTTGCTAGCGTAACGTCGCTGTGCCCAGCGTGCGCGCACGTCAACGCTACATTGGAGTATATTGGGCTCTTCATGATGCGCTCGCGGCCGTTCTGCTAACTCCACATATACCATATTCGGTGTTACGTGACGTCAATGGATGACGAAAATATATGACTGGTGCAAAAAATGGTAATACCCACTTGCATGCCATTTAGGAAAACGACAACATACCACAGTCATAGCATGCTCGCAGTCGTATCGCTAGCTTCACATATTTTAAAATTGGTATCACGTGACGTGAATAATTGATGCAGGTAAACGACACATCCAAACATGATAATCATGACACGTAAGTCATGTACGGCATCACTTACCTCCACCTCGTAACATTGTGCTGATATGAGAGTGATATATCAACCTTCCTCATTCGTGCTTCGCATAGAATCGATTCCCACTGTACGTGGGATCTGCCAATTTTTTTTGTGCATTCATAATTACATTTTGGTCTGCTTACTCTGCTGAGCGAACTTCTTACTGTCAATGTCTGTGACTGCATGTCTATGGGAATTATATTTATGTTAATCTCTATACGTCAAGCAGCCCTGACGCAGTGGTAGCTCTTAGTCAACATTTTTCACTTTACTGCGTGCATCCAAGCATGCTTGCGATACGCAATAAGTATTTTTTTTAAAGATATGCAGCATGCACGTTGGCAACACGATTTTGCATGCGTTATTTGTCAAGCAGACGTTCAATTTCACTGTAACTTTAGATAGTAATGAAGTACTTTAATCGTAGAGGTTTTATCGTGCAATCTGTGAGGACAAGGTGTTATTGAGAAATTTCCACTGGGTATAAATGAAAGTGCACGTGCAACCGGACTATACCTACCCTCAGAAAACTATCTTGTTCGCAGCGTATATGCGCTAAAACACCTAAATATGAGCGAAAAACGCGGAATGTTCTCGTTTTTTTTTCGTAGCTTTCGTCACTCGGCTCCCTGAAACGCTAGCGTTGCGGCAAAGTGTATTCCCTTGTTCGCAAGCATGCAGCCAACATTTCCCTTTACGTCAACAGATTCATACCTGTACAGAATATTTCACCGCGTAACATATGCGCATTCATGTTTCCAGCATTTACACCGACGTGAACAGGAGCAGCCTTGAACCACACAAAATATTCAGTGATTGGTTCACCAGTGATGAAGGAATGAACTACGGAGTGTTTCAGAGCACAGTGCACCATAATAAATTCACCAGAACGCGTAAACTCTGACGAGAACTGCCAGCGCATGCAACACGAGTTTACTTACGCTCGACTGCATGTGCACCGTCTATGCCTGTTGTCTGTTTCGGGCATTCTGATGAGAGTCGCTGGAATTTCACTGCTGCCATCAACTCCTTCGCGTTCATCCACGTTTGTGATATTTTATCACAACGCGACAGAAACTACCAGCCTTTCATACGGGCGCAATCACAAACGTGAGACATCTCGCGCGCAGAGTATGATACTGGGCGAGCGCGACCCTGGCGGCACCTGAAGGGAAGCGGAGGAAATGTATAGCCGCGAGTCTTTCCGCCAGACGAGACGAGCGCTATAGTGTTTAAAGCGGAACTTTAGCAGCCGATGTGTATTGTCACTAAAGTTCTCGTTTTTCACTGCCCGAACTTTGTTGAGCCCCTTGAAATGCGCTGTCTACACGTATTGCTAGGTAGTTTGTGTCCTGGGTAGATCAGTGCCCTTCTATGAGACTAGATGGTCG